AAAGACGAGTCTCCTGACCCTGCTGCTGTAGGAGTTCAGGCACAGCCTGGTACTGACAGGTGGCTGCCACGTCCTCTGATTCAGAAGCCTGGTGCCTCGGGGACACAGAGCTGCACTGGCCCTCGGCTCTGCCCTCAGCATGACTCAGTAGGATGTGCAACCCTAGAGCAGTTGCTGGGTCAAGTGATGACCCTACCTGGTCACCTTTCACCCAGACAGACACACACACACACATACCCCACCCCACCCCCGACACACACACACCCCAGTGTGGGCCTCCATGGAGGTGTCAGTCCTTCACTGAGGGAAGAGTTGACTCAAGAGTCGCCTGCACAGCCCTGGCCAGCGAGCCCTGGCTCCTATGATGCAGGGCCTGCCAGGTCAGAGGGGCTGGGGGAGGGCTGGGCTCGCCCTCAGTACGAGAGAGCAGGTGTTCCCAGAAAGGTGAGCCGCCCCTGAGGAAGAGTCCAGCCTGATCAGGGGCATCTAATTAGCATCCTGATAGGCAATTTCCCACACTTGTGACACTTGTTCTCAGTCATAAACTTCGTTAATACAAATTCTTCCTTAAAGGAATTATTGCTTCATTACAATATGCTGCAGATGCTGCAAGTGACTTGCATAGGAGTGAGCCCACCAGGTGGGGTGGGGAGCCCATGGGTGGGGGTGCTCCCCTGGGGTTTGAGGAGGGGAATGTCTCCATAAGCCAAGCAACAATTTCTTAAAACTTCTTATTTTGAAATACTTACAGATTCACAGGCGGTCACAAGTAATGTGCATCTGCGCCCAGTTTCCCCAGGTGACTGTCCAGCATAACTGGCGCATCACCAAAGCCAGTTCCAGACACTGTTATTGCTCCATGTGCGTCTCGTCTTCCCGCATGAGCACCAGGGCACCGTCTGGCCTCGCGCCCTGTCATCCGGGCGGGTCTGCCCTTTCTCAGTGTGGCTGCACAGAGGCCCTGGGAGTACAATCTCCGCTCCGAGCTGCAGAAATTCCCCACCACACTTCCTTCTTTCCTTAAGTCTGTCTGCCCCGGCTCTTTGGGGGTTTGGAGTCGTGCTTTGTTCCTTAACACTTTCCCTCCTGGACACCGCCCAGTGCAGGTGCTTTCATGCCCAGAGTGGGAGCCAAGGCAGGCACACCTTGTCCTACTCCCCAGGGCGCATGACCTGAGGGTGGCACTCGGCAGTCTTCCTGTGTAAATAATGGCAGTGTGGGGCTGCCCTGTAAACAGGTGGCTCCCACCCTCACAGGCTTCTGTGCTGCGTCATCTCCCCATTCCCTCGAAGGCCGAGGACCCCTTTTTCTGAAACCACTTCCATCAGCACCACTGAGCACACATGTCACCGGCCTGCAGGCAAGCCTCGTGCTCAGGAAGAGCGCTGCGGTCAGAGGCTCCCTGGAGCCCTGTCGGGGACATGTCACTTGCTGGGACTTAGCACTGTCCCGGGTGGTATCCAAGGAAGTTGTAGAGGGATGTTCAGGGTCTCCATTTAGAGCCTCAAGGAGCCACACGGGCCTCGCCTCTCGATTCTGAGCATGCCTTTTGGGTGCATTGCCTGATCATCCTGCCCCCCAGTGCAGCCAGGGCCTCCGGGTCTCCAGGCAGCACGGGGTTACCCTGAGACAGAGTGGTACTACACTGGCATCCCGTGGACCTGCCCTCCACAGGCCCTCCGTGTTCACCCCTTGTCCCTCTACTCTTTCCAATTGCCCTCGACCCAGAGAAGGAGGGTTCCCCAACCCGGCCCCCTCCCACCTTCCTAGAGTCTGGTGACTCCTTTCCCTCTCTCCAGGGCCCCCTCAAAGCTAGAATCCTCAAGAGTCCTTTCCTCCACTGTCCCAGACCTTCATGCCACAGTAGCACCTCCTCCACTGATGGTCCCAGGCCCTTCGCATTCCTGAAAGCAGTGTTAGTTTCCTGCTGTCTTCCAGATCCCTCCCAAACATTCCCCTCTGTGAGCCTTTGCCCACAGGCCTCTGGTTGGCTCCCCTGCCTCTGCCTCTGCTCCTCCACGGTGAGCTGAGCGGTCAGATGGCTCTGAGGAAGCTCTGGGAGCGCTGGGCTTGGTGGGCCTCACCCCTGCCTGTCACTCGTTGGCCACAGCCACTCCCACAGGCCCGAGGCTGTCTCTGCAGCTTTCCCAGCAGCTAGAAGGGTCCTTATGAGACAGGCTTTCTCAGAACTGTTTCCGGTTCTCCTTGCTCAGCGTTTCCCTGGACAACCGCCTTTGCCCCTCCAGGTTCCGTGCCCATCCTTACAAAGCCCCCACTGGCCAATCTTTCCCCAGGCCCCTAGTGCACCCCACCCAGGAGGTGGGCCAAAGAGCTCAGACTCCTTTCTCCTAAACCTGTTGGTCCTAATCCAGTCCTGCCCTCTTGTGCTCGGGTGCCCTCCCTCTGCCTGCTGTCCCTCCCATCCTGTCTCCCACCTGGGCATGGCACTGCCCTCCAGTTTCCACAGGGCGGCAGGAAGGAGCTTTCAGATGCAAATGTCCCTTCACCCCATGCCAGGCTTCCCACAGCCCCCAGGGCGTTCAGTAGAGACAGTGTCCCGCATGTCCTGTACTGTCCACCCCACCACCCTCGGGGCTCCTCACAGCCTTGCTCCTGCTCCCACAGAACTGCACCACATGCCCCTCACACCCTGAGCCTCAGCCCACTCTTGCCTCCATTCACGTGCTGCTTCCCCTCCAGCCGGCCTCCACGGAGCCAGGCTGCCCTGCCTCTGCGCCTAACCGGCCAGCAAATGCTGGGCTCACTGCCCCAGGACAGAGCACAGCTCCTCACCTGGTGGGGGTGCCCTGGGGCTGCTGGAACCACTCACCACTAACCAGAACTCCAACAGGAATCTATTCCCTCCCAGTCTGGAAACTAGAGGTCACAGGGCCATGTTCCCTCCAGAGGCTCTAGGGGAGGCTCCCTGCCTCTCCAGCTCCTGGGGGCTCCAGGTGTTCCTGGCTTGTGGCTACGTCACCCCGACCTCTGCCTCTGTCCTTACATGGCCTTCTGTGTCGTATCTGCCTCTGCCTCCCTCTTTTAAGGACACGTGTGATCACATGGGAAGCCCCCTGGGGAATCCAGCATGATCTGGACTACCTGTCATCGTGTGTTGGTTTTGCCTGACAGTGATCCAAATAAGTGACCGGGACTCTCCCGCGTGTGCACCTGTCCTTCCTTGGCATCTAAATCCCCAAATCCCTCCATGATACAACTTCCATATGTCTCCAGCACCATCCCCTCCGTTTCGGTGCCTGGTTCTCTCGGAGGAGACCCTAGTTCTCGCTGCTCTGCATCAGGCTGGTGACAGGAGACAGGTGCTGGAGGAAGCCACCTTCCACCGCGAGCTGGCGTGCAGGAAGGGGACACCTGGAGATGCCAGAGAAGTGATGTCTGAATAGGCTGAAGGGAGGAGAGGCAGCAGATGGGGGACTAGAATATTGCAGGCCGGAGCCGTCTTCCTGCTCCAGGGCAAGGGGATATGGTCAGGGGCTGCAGAGTGGCCATGGGGGTGCAGCTATAGGGGCTCTCACCCTGGCTTAAGCAGCATTTGCACAGAGTAGGGCTGAGAGCAGTTCAAAGAGGGTGCAGGTGGCATCGGCAGAGGCCCCGAAACCATGATGGCTGTGCTCCGGGCAGTGGGGACAGGCAGGCCCTGAGGCAGGCAGCAGTACCTCTCCGCTGAGTCCCTGGGCTCGTGGAGGCCAGCAGGGTCAGGTCAGGAAGCCCCTGGAAGGACTCAGCCAGGACGGGGAACAGGATGATGGCCTGGACCGCGGCCAAACTGCATTTACATGGCAGGCAGCTGGCAGCCATGGAAACATGGAAGACCGTGCAGATGTTTAGTGCAGAGAAGACAGGACCAGAGCAGAGATGGGAGGGAGGTCACGGAGGCCTGGTGTCCACCCCTGTCCCTGCAGCCACTCCTGTCACTTCACACCCGCGCCTCGGGCTGCCCCGGCCCCATGATGCAGCCTTCTAACGCCTCTCATTTCTTACGCTTCCTGTCGGGGCGGGTGAGAACCACCACGCTGCCGCCTGTGCTCTGGGAGCCTGGCCTTCCCGCTGCACTATAAATAAGCCAGCAGCCCGTCCAGGCACACCCATCCGTCTTGTTTAATAGACTGGAGAGCGCCCCGCACCGCGGCAGGTCTCAAGGAGTGGCGCAGTGATGGATGGCTCCTTCCTGGGTCGGACGCATGATGTATAATGAAATATTTATGATTTATTTCAGCTAATAACCTGGCATGAAGTGCAGGGTGTGAGAGCAGGCGGGTGAAACAGCACTCCTTGCAGCGGGCAGGATGGGGGTGTCCCCAGGTGCACATGCCACACATTCACACATGTACACACACTGACACATGTGTGTGCACTCACACAGCCCGCCTCACCGCACCCTCGATGCCCCAGGCTGGAGTGCAGACCTCCAGCTCCTGGTTGTCCTCCATCCCACCCCCTCTCATGCTCCGTGATGTCTGAGAAAGGACTCTGGATCCTTAGCTGGGAGGGTTCCCGCCAGGGTGATGCCCAAGAGAAGCAAGATGGGGAAGCAGGCAGTGAGCCAGCGGAGCCGGAAGTCCCTTTTCCCCTGTCAGAGACCCACATGGCACCAGGAGCGCCCCACCAGGAAAGGCCACGGTGATACCCAGCTCTGCCAGGGCCCTGCCGAGGCTGGAACCCCACTGCAGACGTGGGCAGACAGCGATCCTCTTTCCTCTCTGTTTTCAGGGGCCTGAGAGACAGGTGTCCTGGGCAGTGACAGTGCGGGCCTCTCCATTGCACCTGCATAGGGTCACAGCCAGAGGGTGTTCGCTGTCAGCACCACAGATTGAGAGCACACCCATCAAACTTTGTGCTTGCTGCCTTGTCCCAAAATTGCCCCCCACAGCCACGTACCAATAGTATTGATGGGCACAGATGCAGGCACCCACCCATGCCCATGTGTCCTCTGTGCCTGCCCCAGCACGCCTCCTGGTGACCAGAGCCCCTTTCCTCAGGCGACACAGCTATGTTCAAGGACGGCAGCTACTGGATCCGGGGGCGCACATCAGTGGACATCATCAAGACAGGTGGCTACAAGGTCAGCGCCCTGGAGGTGGAGCGGCTGCTGCTGGCGCACCCCAGCATCAAGGGTGAGTGGCCGTGGTGCTGTCGGCAACTGTTCCCCAGGACTTGCTCCAGGGACCCCACCTCCCCGGCATTTCCTGCACGTTCTTGCTGCTCTGTAGCCTGCAGTGATCACTTGGTGTTTAAGGTGCCCACCCTGTTCTGTGCACAGATGTGGCTGTGATCGGTGTTCCGGACATGACGTGGGGCCAGCGGGTTACTGCAGTGGTGACACTGGAAGAGGGACACTCGCTGTCCCACAGGGAGCTCAAAGAGTGGGCCAGGTAAGGGCAGGCAGGGCCGGCGGCCCTCATGGGGTTAAGGGAGGGAACTTACCCACCTCAGGAATGGGTGGGCAGGGAGTGGACTGTCCCATGGCCTGGAGGGGACAGGTGGGGCTTGGGCCTTGCTGTTGTTCATCTTGGGGGAGGACTTGGAAGGTCAGGCGACGTGGTACTTACATGAGGCTGCCCCAGTGGGGGGCTCCAGGGACGCTGTAATGATGGCAGAAGCAGATGTGGAACCCGTGCATGCCCATCACCGCAGGGCCAGGAGCCCTCGCAGGGGGATGGGAGCTCCCACTCCCCACCATACGACTCAGTCGAGGTTTGGAGGAAGGTTCTGAGGCGGCAGAAACACTTGCTCTTGGACAGTGTCCTCTGTGGTGAGCAAGCAGGTTCTCTCCCGGGTTTAGGAAGTCTTGTCGGGGACGTGCGGTGAACCTGGAGCCAGATCCAGAGCGCCCACCCCTCGGCCATGCTCTCAACAGCGGTCGCCAGCCCGCGGTCCGTGAGGTCCAAAATGTTGGCGGCCACTGCTGTAAACCCCGTGCGCTGAGCATGGGCATTCCCCGTGCCCATTGGGTGCTCACTGCCACCCAGGCCGGAGCTCCCCCGTCTCCGGCAGCGCAGTCCCTGCCCCTCACCCTGGCCAGTTTGCCTTCGCCTGATCCTCCCCCTCCCCCAGGAGCCTTCTGCCACCTGCCTGATCCCGTGGTTTCTTGGTCCCAAGGCTCACAGAACCCTCCCTGGGCCCTGTGGTCAGCCCCAGGGCCCACCCCAAATCCCTGCCCCATCCTTGTCAAGGCCAGACAGAACCGGACAGGACAGGGGGAGGGTGTAATGGGACCATGGAGCAGTGGCCCTGCAGCTCAGAGAGGCAGTTAGTAATCTCCGAGTTCTTTATCTAAATCCAAGAATTTCCTCCTATCTATCTCTTCTTCCCACACCCTCCTCCACCCCAGCTTGCCTCCTCCTCGGTGCTAAAGATATTTTTGGCTTGTCCAACATGATTTCACAAACAGTAGGAATCCTGGTTTCATCAGGGGCAGCACAGCTGGGCAATTAGATCCCCGGGATTTGCAGAAGCACAGTCGGAGCACTGCTGTTTAACAAGAGGAGAGGCAGCTTTGATTAAACAATTACTCTGTTAGCAATTCCATGTGTGTATGTGAGTATGGGGTGGATGTGTGTGCATGTATGTGTACATATGTGTATGTGTGTGTATGTGTGTATCCTATGCCGAGAGCTCCCAGAGAGTTTCGGGTCCAAGTCTGCAGTCACACATTAACCTAGGGCTGCCCCCAGGCAGGTGCCCGCATGCCCCTTCACCCTCGGCTCGGCTCTGCGTCTCTCAAATCCAGCTCAGGCTTCTGGCCCAGCCCCCTGCAGGTCCTGTCCTAATGGTCATGGCTGTGACTGTGGGTGTGCGAAGACTCTAAAACGGGCGCTTTGTGCAGGGGATCTGGGGTGCTTTGGGGAGATGCTCCCAGGAGAACAGGACCGGGCGGAGCAGTTGGCTAGCCTGCCGTGTGTCTCCGTGAGGACGGTCAGACTGAGGCTGGTGTCTGGGCCTGTGTGTCCTCAGATTGGCAGTCACTGGGTGTGACACAGGCTGTCCACCCCATGGAAGGGGAAGAGGGTCTTTCTTTCGGAGCCACCCTGTGCGTCCCCCGTGTGGGTGCAGGGATGGGGAGAGGAGCCCCCCTCCGGCTCTTGGACACTGACTTTTTAGTAAGGCTGTGTTTCTTTCTATGTTCACTACCATTTGGAGGCTTTTAAAACTATATTTTTTAAATAACGTTTTCTCTTTTGCTATTTTTTTTTATTTCTGAAGATTCTTGCTGCCCTCTCAATCTCTCTGCTCCCCAGGTAAAGAGCTGTCTGCCTCCCCATGCAGGGGTCACAGGGAAGCTGGCAGCCCCAGCTCAGGCAGCGCTTCTCCGCGGGGGCGGGGGCATGGTCTCAGAGCTGGGTACACTACCAGGTGGCAGGGTCTAGGACACGGACAACCTGCCACCCTTCCATCCCCCAGACTGCCGACTGAAGTGGGCCAGGTGGGACTTCCACACTGGGAAGAATCCTCAGTGTCAGCATCCAGTCAGGCCATGATGAGTCATGATGGAGGCTGAAGTCCTGTCCCTCTGTGCCCCTTCCTCCCTCCTCCAAGGAGACGTGTTTGGGAGGCGTTAGGCAGTATCTCCACTGTCCATGTGGATTTTTTCACAGGGAACCTTGCTCTTAACAGACAGCTCAGCTTTGCGGGATCTCACTTTGCTGAGGCAGTTCTGAGAGCTTTGTATTAGGCCAGTTGCTAAGCTGGGACCCTTGGAGGAAAGCAGGCCCAGCTTACAGACTGCCCTGCAATGAAGGGATCACTGTTCTTGGAAATGCAGGGCCTGCGGATTTTAAGCCTGTGTTCTTCACAACACTTTTAGGTCATTTTAATTTTGATACTTTTTTCCCTTTAGCGGTTCTAAGGTGGGTTTACTGTGCATCTTTACCTTTCCGGGCTCTCTCCCGTGACATCGGCCTCTTCGTGCATAGACAGACTGGCTATTATTGCTATGCATCTACTTCTACATTTGTCACACACCCACACTGCCTTCTTTTATTTTTGTTAAGCGGTTACTCCTAAAGAGAAGTCAGTAGTAAGGACATGGTGTCTGTTTCCCGGCTCCGCTGCTCTTCCTGCCTTGGCTCACCCTCAGTTCTGTCAGCAGCATTTCCTCCTGCCTGCAGACACGCTCCCATCTGGTGCTGGTCTGCTGGTAAGGAACTTCGCCAGCGTCTGTGTATCTAAAAACATCTTTAATTTCACCTTCATTCTTGAAAGATACTTTTGCTGGACATGGGACTCTAGATTGACGGGTTTTTCTTTTCGTTCCTGGGAAATGGTGCTCTACTACCTTCTCACCAGCACTGTTCATCTTGGGAATCTGCCATCATCTCAGGCCATACCCCCAGACCCGCCTGGGCCCTCTTCTCTCTGGGCCCTGGCACCCAGCTCAATGCTGGCATGGTAAAGCAAATGGAGGCAGGGGAGAGCCACAAAGCATGACGTGCCACCCAAATACCACTGGAGACACCAAGTTTTGGCAGCCAGGCTGCAGAGCAGTGGGCAGCTACGTTTCAGGAGCAAGTTGGAGTGTTCCCCCTGCTGCACTGTCAGTCCTGGTGGCTTATTCCAGCCAAGTCCAGCCTGGCCCCACATGTCCTCCAACCCTAGTGGGCAGCCCCGGCCATTTCCTGCAGCTGCCAGGACCGCAGATGGTGGCACTGTCTCTCCTCATGAGCCAGCAGCAGCCTGCACTCAGTACCCTGGAGTGGGAGCCACACCATAGCCCTGGCCTGCAGCAGTCTGTTTAGGGAAGGAGCTGCCCCGAGATAGCAGTGTGTTCAGGGCTGTATTGCTGATGCTTTCTGCCTGTGGGCAGGTGGACCCAGCCTGCAACGGTGATTGGGCTCATGTGTATTCATAAGCACCAGGCTGTTTAAGCAAGAATTGGGGTTTCTCGTCCACCCCCACCACCAGCCCCTTGCTACTAATCCTCAGTGGCCAAGGCCCCACAGCTACAGAATGGAGGGCCACAGCCACCTGTTGGCCCTGGGCAGACACTGGGGGCCATGTGTCCTGCAGCCCACTGTCTGCATCGTTCCGGCCTGGCCTGAAGGTTGTTGTCAGCAGATTGGAGTCCCTGTGTCCCAGGAGGCTGGGAACTGCCACCCCAGGCAGCATCCAGGGCTTCTGCAGTTTCCTTGCAAGGGGCATGTGGCCCGGGTGTGGCTTCAGAGAGCAGGGAGCAGCAGCTCTTGTCTGCCCAGAAAGGGCCCCGGGAGGGAGAATGTGGGCCTGCAGCCTAAGGAGGGGTTCCTGAGCAAGCCTACGGGTGTGGGACCCAGCATGTGGCCGCACACAGGAGGACACACCATGTAATGGGGAGTCCCTCAGGGGAGTGGGGGCTACAGGCTAGAGCCACCCCTGGACTAACGCTGGTGCTGCTTGAGTGCTGGGCTCTGGTGCAGGGAGGCCGCCTTCTCCACCCGTCCGGCTAAGGCTGCTGCAGTGACCAGGCTGCAGGATGGGCTTCTCCTCACCCCCACCCCGGGGGGCAGAGGCACATCTCTGTTAGCGTGTCCTGCAGGAGGGCACCCTCCTGGAACAAGCACAGATATGACCAGGCCGGGAGGTGGGTGCCTTCTGGGCCCGGAGTTCCTGCCACTCAGGTCACGCTTGTCTCTGCAGAGGCGTCCTGGCCCCGTATGCTGTGCCCTCGGAGCTCCTGCTGGTGGAGGAGATCCCAAGGAACCAGATGGGGAAGATCAACAAGAGGGACCTGGTCAGGCAGTTCTACCCGCACAGCCAGGGAGCACCGGAGGCCAGGCACCCGTGAGCCAGCATCTGCTCTACACCCAGACCCCCAATTGGGTGGAACAGAGTCCGGCCTGATGGAATAAGATCACAGCCAGAGGCCTCCTCTGTCCGTCCGTGTGGCCACATCCACACCTTTGCCTGGTCAGGCCCCAGGAGGGTCCAGGTGTCACTCAGGGATGCAGTCTCCACAGGAAATTCAGTAAAGCTTCTCAGAGAAAAACGCCTGCTGTGCTGTCTCCCCGGGGCTACGTGGGGGCTGTGCGGCAGGGACAGAGAATGCACTTGTCTGCACACACGTGAATGCCACGCAGCCTGGTGTCTCCCCATTGTCCAGGATGCCCATGCCACCGCCTCAGGTGGCCTGGACCCCTGCAGAGCCTCCTGATTGAACCCTGACTGCTCTGAGGAGCCCACCTGGAGGACAGGCCCAGGCAGCCAGGTGAGAGGGTTTGGGCGTGCCATCATCCCTTCTGTCCTCCCTGGGGTTTCCCAGTGTGTCTCTAGGACAGTCCACGTCACAAGAGTGGCTTCACTGAGCCCCAGGGAGTGGCAGAGGCTCATGTAGGCCTTCAGGCCGAGCCGACCGCCATAGGGACAAAGCTCAGCCACCAGAGGGCCAGGGAAGCTGAGTGTCTTGACCCCCTGCTGAGCAGCTGGGTGCAATCCCTCAGCCCTCACAAAGGGCCCCCAAACTTCTGGGCTGGCCAGGTGGCCTTGTTTCAGTCTCTGTGGCTACATGGTCCCTGTGGAGCCGCTCACCTCCGTGGTTGTGGTGTAGATCCCGCTGTTCTGTGGAGTCCAAATCCTCTCAGTAGCCAGAGGCTGACCACCAGTGGCCCTGCCGCTGCTCCACCTTGACCCTTAACCCCACCCCTCCATGCTGTCCCCACCCATACCCCTATGCTCCCACAACCCCTCCTTTCCGTCTTTGTCTAAATGCCACCTTCTCCTTCCCAGACCCTCCCCCCAGACAGGCCTGTCCTCCACACTCCTGGCCACAGTTGCACTGTCCTCAACGTTCCCACTCCCCGCTCTTGGCCATTTTGATTCCGACGCACGGGTGCCCTTTGTGCACTCTGAGCAGAGAATCCAGAGGCTTCTGGACAGTTTACCAGAGACCAGGGCAGCTCCTCTGCCCACAGCTGGTGGGAAGTAGCCCTCACAGCACAGCAGGAGTCTGGCCCTGACTTTTCCAGAACCGGTCTCCATATTGTGTGTCTGAAAGAGCAAATTGTGGGAACTGGAGGAGCCACCCCAGCCTGTGCAGGGGCGCAGTGCCTTATTGAGAAACTGTAGCTGGTGAGAGAGGCGGAGCTGGGACCACCCTCCCGCGCACATCCCCGCCTGTGGCCTGTGACTCCCCAAGGCCTGAACCTGGGTGTGGGATTTGCTCAGAGGAACATCCAGCCCCAAGCTGCCTCCCGCCTGAGGTCTGGACATGAACGCCAGTCACCCACCTACCAGGCAGGCCCCTTTGAGGGGCTCAGCCGCTGTGCCCACAGCTGGCTCCTCTAGAGGGGAGCCCTCCACACCTCGGTGGACACCCGGCTTCCCCCTGTCCTGCGGTCACCCCTGTGGTAACTAGGGAATCCCATAACCACATGCTGCTGAGGGAAGTCAGACGCGACACTGCAGGGTCCTCCCTAATCCCAGTGATTTGACATTATCTAATTCCTTAAAATGGTGGCATAATTACTTGCTTTATGCTGTAATCTATGTCAGACACTTTCTGAAAATGACAGTCACCTTTGGCAAACAGCAAGAGGACAGAGGATGTTGATTTGTCCTTAGAACAGGTCCCTCTAAGGACACAGAACGCTGGGCCCCACTCGTTAAGTCAACATGATGGAGGGTCACGAGGCTTCCAGGAAGTCCCCCTTGTTAAATATGCCCCCTACACACACCTGGGGCAGCCCCGCCCACCCCACACGTGCTCCCCCAGTGAAGCCAGCCGCAGGCACCCTGGGAGCTGAGCTGTGACGGCCTAATTGACAGCCCATCTGCCTTCTGCCTCCCTGGGCGGGCTGAGCTGGGGCTGAACTCACTGAAAGGCGGCCTGGATGCCCAGGGTTCCTGGTGGGGCTGCTGCGCAGACAGGCCGCTGCCTCAGCAGCGGGAAGGCCAGCCTGTGCCTCCGGGATCGCTCGGGAGGGAGCACGCCTGGCTCAGCGGGTCCCCGAGTCCTACCATGTCCCTCCTGGATGTGGCTCAGCGGCCACAGGGAAGCCCCGCTGCCTCCACGTCCACCCAGCGTCTGTGTTTGCAGGCACCAGGCCAGCCAAGGTAAGAGCCCCCTGCGGAGAGACAGGCTTGAAACAGCCCCTCCCAGCACCCCGGCCCGTGCCCTCTGCCTGCGTTTCCTGTTCTGTGATCTGAGGCTGGTGCTTCCTCTGGGCTCCTCGGGTTCTAACCCAGGGCTGAGGGCTTCGCTTCCTCGGGGCTTGAGTCTGGGGGCTGGCGACGGCACACGGCTCCACCTAGGAGCTCCCCAGCCCTCCTGGCTCCCCAGAGGAGGCCAAGCAGGAAGTCGGGGCGGGGCATGGAGCTCTAACAGCCGGGGCCGCACAGGCCAGGCCACCAGCACCCACTGCCCAGGCACCAGGCACTTCCGTGTCCACCAGTCTCAGCCACGGCTCAAGTCTTTGTCTAATCGCCACGCTGGCCCTGCTGCCCCACCTACGGCACGAGGTTCCCGGTGGTGAGGAATGCGCCAGGCCTGCAGCGAGCCACAGCCCCCATGTTCACATCCGACCCTCTGTCTCCCTCTGGGGAGGCATGGGCCTCGCCCTGCCACCTTCACACGTGGGACTTAAAAATGGTCTCCTGGCCCTGACCGGTTTGGCCCCATGGATAGATAGAGCATCGGCCTGCGGACTCAAGGGTCCCAGGTTCCATTCCAGTCAAGGGCATGTACCTTGGTTGCGGGAAAAATCAATAAAATACATATTTTTTAAAAAAATGTTCTCCTGGACCAGGCTTCCCCTGCAACATTCCTCCCGACTCACCCCAGAGCAGGGGCCACAGCAGAACACATCACAGCCGCAAACAGAACTCCGCAGTGCCCGGCCCCAGGACCAACAAGATGCGCCTCGTGTCCTGGAGTGAGTCCTGACCCCCGAGGGCCAAGGGATCGGACTCTCCAGGTGTGTCCGTAAGCAGAGCCACCTGCCACCCTGGCCCCCAGCCAACACAGGTGGGGCAGGGACCCACTGGCAGCCCAGGCCCCTGGGAGCAAGATCCCAAGTCTGCCTGCTCAGAGCCTGCGAGCCCAGCCACACCCTGGGAACCAGGTCAGGGAGCGCGGAGCCTGGCGTTCCTGTCTGTGAAGGGGATCTGGAGGTAGTCCCTGCTCCAGCCCACTGGGAGGCAAAATGAGACCGTCCTGCAGAACCCGGCAGCTCACTGCCCATTTTAGATGAGATAACTATAAAAATAGTACAGTGCCGGGCTGACGTTAAGCAACAATGAATAAGAGGTATTACCTACAGGTGTACATACCACACACACATATCCCTGCATATGTGTGTGTGCTCACATGCATGCCCACACACCTGCTTAGACATGTGCTCAGACACCTCGCATACACATGTGCTCACATGTCTGTATACATGTGTGCTCACCAACATCCCTGTATACGTGTGCTCACACATGTGCCCACACAACTACATACACATGTGTACCCACAGACATCCTTGCATGTATACCTATGCACGTGCACACGCACACATACACACATGCTCTGTGACACGCCCTACCCCCCCCCCTGTTTTGGGGTTGAGTGGAACCAGGGTTATAAAGCAGTTTTCCAAGAGTCCCGGGAATCACCTTAAACTCCAAAGTCCCAACTCATTTTCTCTTTTATGTTGAGTTTTTACATGAAGACAAATTCCAGGGCTAAACAGTAAATTTGAAAACTATAGCTCAGTTCTTAAAATGGTCCTGTGCTGTCATCAACAAATCAGCAAACGGTAGGTGTTGGCGAGGATGCGGAGAAAAGGGAACCCTCCTGCACTGCTGGTGGGAATGCAGACCGTGCAGCTCCCAACTCATTTTCTCTTTTATGTTGAGTTTTTACATGAAGACAAATTCCAGGGCTAAACAGTAAATTTGAAAACTATAGCTCAGTTCTTAAAATGGTCCTGTGCTGTCATCAACAAATCAGCAAACGGTAGGTGTTGGCGAGGATGCGGAGAAAAGGGAACCCTCCTGCACTGCTGGTGGGAATGCAGACCGTGCAGCTACTGTGCAAAACAGTATGGAGTTTCCTCAAAAAGTTAAAAATGGAACTCCCATTTGACCCCTTTATCCCACTTGTAGGAATATCTCCCAAGAAGCCAGAAACACCAATCAGAAAGAATGTATATACCCCTATGTTCATAGCAGTGCAATTTACAATAGCTAAGATCTGGAAACAGCCTAAGTATCGTCAGCAGATGAGTGGATACAGCTGTGGT